ACTAAAAAAAATAATAATAATAATATATTAAATATAAAATATTTCAAGTATAATAAAATAAAATATCATATAAATAACTATATTAAAAGAATTATAAATAATAAATAATTTACAAATCTGAAAATTAATACTATTATTATAAGTTCTAATAATAATTTTTTCTTATAATAATTATAATAATTACTAAAAGAATAAATTATTAATCCTATTATCAATAATAATAGTAATAATACTACTCAAAATAATAAGTACTAGTAAAATTTTTTTCTTTATCCCTCTGTTCTAGATTCGTGATTCTGACTTCATGTTCTTCTAGAGCTTGCTTTAACTTCACATTATCACCTTTAATCTCAGTATTTTCGGCTTTAACTGTCACATTCTCAGCTTTAAGTTCGATATTCTCAGCCTCAACCTCAGCAAGCCTCTTTCTAAGTTTATCAATTTCGGATAAGAGCCTGGAATTCAATTCCTTCAATGTATCAATTGTGGATTGTGCACTTGCCATTGTTTTATTTAACATATGAATATATTCAAAGGCTTGTTTATCCTCCAAGCTCGAGGAAGAGAATATTTCATACTCAGCCAGAATATAGTTATGTTATCTAATTTATGTATTAATAATTTACATCGATGTATTTGATTAAGCGATATGAACGCAATGAATTATACAAATTCTAATTTGTTGCATTTTTTAACTTCATAGAAATTTCCGTATCGTTCATCACGAAAATCTTTTGTCAGAAAAAGAATTCTCAATCATGGCATAAAATACATGCTCAAGCTCAGAAATTCGTTGCCTCAATAAATCAACTATGTTTTAGTAACAGATTGTATATATCCTATTGTTTATTTAAAATGCATAACCAAAGCAATGAAAATTTTGGCGACAGACCGTCGTCAAAAACTCAAAAAAAAACGAATAAAACATTACAGATCGTGAACCTGATAAATGACTAATAGATCTTTATTGATTTTTTATTATACACAAGCTATTTGATAGTAAATTCGATGAAATATTGTCACTCGGTTATTTATTTCAATAAGTAATCAAGACTTAAATCATTTCTAAATACAAAAGTAAATGTTGCACGTACTTGCTAATCAATAATTCAATAGAAAATCTAAATCCCAATGTATGCACAATTTCTATCAGGTTGGTATATAAAAACTTTAATCAGAACTCAATTGACGAGGATATTCGGAATTTCCTGATGGAGATGGTGAAGGTGGATCATCATAATCAGAATCATCATCATGATGATGTGCCACTGGATTTATGATGCGTGATTTTTTTCCTGTAGGTTTTTGTGGTGAACTCTTGGCATCACCTATGTAACTTTTTAGTGCTGGAAATTGAAAGTGTAAAAGGGTATTTCGACAATGTGACCTTTTGAATTCCTCAAATACTTTGAGAGTATCATCTAAGCCTCTCTGTATGAAAAAGAATGATCAGAACAAGATATTTTAATACTTCAACACAAAGGAATGAAGATCTTTCTTACTCCAAGATTTTGCAAAACCCTTAACGCATGCACCAGTTCATGATGATTCTCCCAACTGATTGGAAACCGGAAGGTGCCAATCAGAAACATTCGATAAATTTTGGAAACAGGTAAATCCATACCCCAAATCTGTACCTCAAGACCTATATGCAAGAAATAAAAATTATTAACAAATACAAAAACTAAAACTCAGGTCAACTATTAACTTACCGTGTATATGGAAAAACCAAACACGTAAACGTCTCAGAATCTTATAGTCACCATTTTTAA